CTGGCATGGAACAGCTGGGCACGCTGGCTCCGATTGATGATGGCGGCCTAGGCATGCTTCAGCATGCAGCAGTGACTGCGCGCGCTAAGCCGATCGTGGCACCCTCGAACTCGCTCTCTTGCAAAGAAACGCTCGGTGCGCCAATCAACCAGACGGGTGGCGAGCATGTCCGATGTGACCTGACGGCAGCTGCGTTCTGTCTAAACTGGCATTTGGTTGTTGGTTGGTGGATTCCGATAGGCCATGACTTCGGCGGTTGCTGGCCTCTGGCATGCATTCTTGCCCTTTTGCTGGTGGGCCGCTGGAACATGCAAGAGCTACCGCCGCCAGTCCCACCCATAAAGGGCAACAAAAGACTCTACCCAGCCTTACGCCCTGTACACTTTTGGTGTGATGACCTGCCTCCACATCGATACCCATATCTGGCGATGGCCGCGGCGGCGATGTGGCTGCCGGCCTTGGCAGATTACCCGATCTACGACAACCAGAGTGTTCCGATGTTGCCAAGGGTGATCAGCTTTCTGCCTTGGTGGGTCGCTTTCATGCCGGCTGCTTTGTGCATGCTGGCCATGGGCCGCTGCAGCCCCACTCATCGAATCGGGTCGGCGTGGCATTGGGCATCAATCTGTGCCATGATTCCAGCCACAGCGGCCTTTGTGCTCACTGAGAGCACGTACACGACCCACCACAGGCATGGCTACCGATTCCTGCCGGCCTCCTACGCTTTCGTCGGCGTCTCCTTGACCCTTCTTGCGCTACTGGCTGGCTGTGAGGCAAGGATATCATCGTGGCTTCGCAAGTACTGCATGCTGGTTTGCTCTGGAATGTACATCGCCGGGGGTATCTCCAAGCTGCTGAACAACAAGCCATTTCTGCGCTGGGCGGATGGAACGATCCTTCAATATTGGACGCTGTGCTTTGAGAGTCACAGTGGAGAGATCCCATATCCATGGTTTTCGCGGATGCTCGCCAACAGCACGGCTGTCTCGTCACTCTTCAGCTGGGCCACGATGTGCTTTGAGTTGCCTCTTTCCATAGCTGCCTTGGTGGGTCTGGGTTGCTTCGGCCATCGGGCTGGCGGTTTAGGTTTGGTGAGGGTACTTTGGTGCATCGTGGCCTGTGGCTTCCATTGCGCTGTCAATCTGCTTTGGGGGCCTATCTCTGCCAGCATGTACGACATCCAGGCCTGGTTGCTTTTGCTTCTCGTGGCCGACGTGTGTTCTGTGACATCCGTGTTCAGGGCTGAGCGGCCGCAAGAGACCACGCTGAAAACGCAGGAAGCGCAGGAAGCACAGGAGAGAGACCACGAATCATTGAAACAAGAAGCATGGGGTGCGCAAATCTTTCCGATCTTGCTCTCCCTGTTGTGCACTCTGCTGCTTTTCGGCTGGGTGGCTGTTGCTCTGGCATACCACTTCCCATCTGATGATCCACAGTGGCCTATATGTTCCGTGCCGATGTACTCCATGTCCTGTGGAGTAAGGTCTTGCCCGGATGAGTTCAGAAACGAGGTTTGGGATCTTCCTTTGTACCAGCGGTTGTTCCTGTCACTCGCTGCAGCTTCGATGACTATGCTGCGTCAGCCCTGAGCAAAAAAGTATGCGCCGAGCACATCAATCCCGTCTTGACTTGGGCTTGTCAAGGACTCAATCGAGCCCGCATGCACATCACTTTTCTGCGATAGGTTCACGCTTAATGCAGAATTTGCAGCCTGTGTGTGTCCCCTGTGTGGGAGCCTTTTCAGCCTCCCCATTTGCCTTGTGAAAGATATCTCCAGTGAAGTCCTACCGTACTCTCATGAAGCGCTTAGCAGGCTTAGCAGCAGCTTCGGCCACCTGGCCTTGTCAACTTTTTGTGGCAGTCTTTCAGCTTCCGTCATCTTGTGGAGCTGATGTAGGGCATTGTAGGGCCATCGATGCTCGGATGGCTCAGCTACTGCTGCCGCAGTAGAGGTGCAGATTTCATTCACACGCTACGGCAACATGGGGGGCAAAGTAAGGGCACAGAGAAAGGCATCGGCCCGTGCTGCTGGAACTGTGTTCCTCTACACTGCAGGTCGCACCCTGCTTCTGCTCGCCGTTGTCTCGGTGACCTTCTTCGTCTTTCAGGTGCCAGCTCTCAGGCCAGTGACATGTCTTACGTGTTGTTCGGATGGTCTGTCGTGGCACGTCATGAGGGCCATATAGCACTCCTGCTAAGGTGCAGCAAGCCGAGTTGTTCGGGCAGGCTGGCGAGCACTGGCATTGATGGGTTTGAATCTGCTCCGTGCGCTTGGTTGCGCAGAGAGGGCTTCTGCAGTTTGGGCTGCAATGGAAGTAATTTGTAAGCATGCTCTGCTTTGTTGGGAGAGCCCCCCTTCGTTGGCCACAGGCCGCTTCTGTCAACAGCCAGCGCCCACGCAAAGACCGTCTGCTTCGAAGTTCGCCAGATGCTACTGCGCCGAACACTGTGCCGGATGCAAACACGTTGAGCACCACCTTGCACAACACTGTCGACACTACTGTGCACACCGCATCAGACGTTACCTTGGACACTACCTTGGATACAACCTTGGACCCCCTAGTGGGTCCAGCTTGTGATGGCGAGCTCTCCCGCTTTATCAAGCAGGGATTCCATCTGCCAGTGCTGTTGTTGGCACACCGCCGAGCTGAGCGGCTGCTGGAAACCCTGACAAGCTTGGCTGCCGTGCGCGGCTTCTCCGCTGACGAGATTCTCATCTCCCAGGATGGCAGCGACGAAGAGGCTCCGTGGGTTTAGGGTTTAGGGTTTAGGGTTCAGGGTGGTCGTGTGTAGCTAGGGGGATGTGTCGCCCTGGAACTTGCTTTCAGGTGGCCAAGACAGTTGATGCAAGGAACCTTTCGCGGGTCACACACGATGCCAAGCTGCGTGGGACGAGCGACTGGAAATCTGCAGCCCTCAGGCGGCTCAGATTTCAACAGGAGACTTCGTGATATAGTTATACACTACAATAAAACTGGAAGAGTATGATTGCTAAGATGGTACAATGATTTGATATCATTGATATCATCATCGTGTACCATCAAGTAGCTGTTGGAATTTGCTTGGGGCTGGACAGATGCTGAAACTGGCACCACAAGGATTGCAAGGCACTATCGGTGGAGCATTGATGCTGCGTTCAAGCACTTCAATACAACTCCTGGTGCCCCATTTGCATTGGCTACGGCTTGTCATAGTATATTGGCACTTAGCTCACAAAAACATCTTCGTTGACGTTGAACATCGTGGAGCGTGACGTAGTTGACGTAGATGTCGGTGACTTTTCACAGGCATCATCATTGTGGAGGACGACCTGCGATTCGCACCCGACTTTTTAGAGTACTTCCAGGCGGCTTTGCCCCTAAACCCTAAACCCTAAACCCTAAACCCTAAACCCGGGTGAAGCGATGTTTCCTTCTGACGCTGTGAGGCGGTTGCTCCCGTGCTGGATTGCGACAGCAGCCTTTGGATCGTGTCTGCCTGGAATGACAACGGATTTGCTACTCGGCTGAAGAGAAGGGTTTAGGGCCTGGGAGCTCCTGGGAGCACCCCTCAGAAGTACTTCCGATCAGTTTTATGGGCTGTTGGCTTCAGGATCACCTCGTGGGAGAGGCCAAGCGGCTGCTTCGCACGCACTTCCTGCCTGGCTTAGGCAGGGCAAGAGTCCGTTGCAAGCTTTCAAGCATGGTGCGATGGCGAGCATGGCTTTGTTGATGGTTGTTGCGCTTAGTCGCAGCACTGGAGATCCCCGAGAGGTTGGCTGATGCTCCGCCGGCTTTGGAAAGAGCTGCAACCATCATGGCCGGATGTTGAGGAGAGGCGCATCTTGGCTTTTGTCTCCTACAGGCTCATGATGTCACCGAACTTGTTTGTATGTCTGCGATTTGACACGCTGCGACTTACAAATTAAGTGCAGTCAAACTCCAGTTCTAAGTGCTTCAAGGACGGGAGGCGCAGATGAACAATTGGGACCATTGGCTTCGGAGTCCACAACAGCATCAAGGCCGTCGGCGTGACCTACATCGAACTTTGATGCCTAATGGTCCAATGGTTTAGGGTTTAGGGTTTAGGGTTCAGGGTAATAGTCTACTTTTCAGACTATGATTTTTGTTTGCAGGAGGACATTGTCACAAGAGCTAAGTGCTGCAGGCCTCATCAGTACAATTCGCAGACCCCTTCTCGGCGCAAGCCTATGAAGATGTGAAGTAGGGTGTATATTACTGTTCTTGGTGGGTGCATGTAAGGTTCCTTTCAAAATTGGTGAGTGTATATATTTCGGTGTCCTTTTGGGGGTACAAGAAAAGAACCCTACTTCATATGGCGAAGGGCTCAACAGAAGATGGGGCCGCTGACTTCAGTGCAGCCATGTGCAGCCCTTCATTCTGATGACTCCCGGTGGTAGCACAGACAATGGAGTTCCTATCGAAACTCAGAATTCTCGTGTCGTGCTCTTGAGCACTGGTCGTTGTACATTTGATGCGTGAGTCTGTGAAGGGTGCTGCCAGTCGTGCTCGTCCAGAACTTGAAGAGTAGTCCAGATCACTGACCATTCTGCGCACAGCCATGCTGAAGCATAGACAAATGAGAAGCAAAATTAAAACTAGTAATAACAAGAATGAAAATGATGATAATACAAAAATAATAGTAACAGTGCGTCCGGAGCTGTGCCAGGTCGGTCTGTCCTCTATCCGCAAGTGCCCCGCGTGTATCACCATGGCAGCCTGGGCACATTCATGAACTTGGATACGCATCGGTGACTTGGCACTTTTGTTTCGCAGCCATTGTCTGCGATGTGTCTGAGCGCTTCCATGGGCTCCCGGCTGTATCTCCGAGTAGAGGCAGTACTTCCAGCATATCTTCTACAACCAGGACCTTGGTGTGCTTTGTTTTTGCGACTTCCTGGGTGCCACCCTGAGTGACTGGCTTTCCGTTGAGGACCCCAAGATCACATGGCAGCGACCCACGGCCGACAGACCTTGGCTGGATGCGGCTGTTGCAGATGCTCGACGCGAACCGTATGAGGACGACAGCTTTAGAAGCACTGGAAGTTGCGCGTGGCTGCAAGGAATGGCTGTAAGGGTTCGGTTTGGCAGGCGCGGATCATGCAGCAACTTCGACACGCAGAAACGTCACTCTGAAGCAGCAGGAAGTTGTGTCATTCGGATGTGCTGATCGAATCCTATCACGGACTGGGCAGCACCTGGTGCATCGTCCTCAGGCCGCGATCAACGTCAGCCCTTGTTGAGGCCTGCAAAGAGACCAGATGATGCAACAGCAATAACATCAGTCACTACCGAAATCCCTGTTGCTACTCTTAATGCCATGCTGATGGCCAAGAAGTAATATTCAATACAAGAGTAATACAACATGCAGTCTAATAAACATTTTGATAGTAGAAACAATAAAAGTAGCAGGAAGTATCCTTGCATGGAAGCCTGTGGCCACGAGCTTTCTCCACAGGGTCTGGCGTGGCGCTCTCAAGGCCCTGGCATCGGGGAAGGCGGCCGCGCTGGCCGTTTGGATCAACATCAGCCCTGAAGGCCTGCTTCAGCCGCTTGCATCACGGCAAGGTCTGCTGATTTTCGCCCGGGGTTTCGAACTTAAGCTGCAAGCTGCTCATGGTGCGAGCTGAGTTGTGAGTCAGTTATGAAAGTTGTGATGCAACAATGTCTGTGCAGATGTCAAGAAAAAAAGCGGTGCAAAGGAGGCGCATCTGTAAATTTTGGGGTGCGTTTGCTTGAGGGGCGTAGTGTCCAAGCTTCTTACTTTGAGTCACTTCCCAGGGGTTCTCGAGCGTGGCCAAGTTCTTCGGGCTTTGGCATGAGGCAGGTGCTTCCTTGTTTGGAAAAGCCATATGAAGCAGGGTTTGTATTGCTGTTATTGGTGAGTGTATATAAGGTTCCTTTTTTAATGTTGGTGAGTGTACATATGGGGTGTCCTTTTGGGGTACAAAAAAATATAAGCCCTGCTTCATATGAAGTCGCACACAAACACAAGCTCCCCTGCGGCGTGAGGGCCAACGCGCTGCGCACCGCGGTCTACACGAGTTGTGGTGGGGGAGGTGCTATTGCCATGAGGCTGCTTGACAGAGCTTCTGCCGGAGCATGGCAGGACGCATGTTTTCCTGGTGAACGTGCACCCGAAGGCCCTGTTGCACCCCCTCTTCTCTGAGTTTGAAGTTACGTTGCACATACTCATTAAGACCCAGTATCCTGAGGGAGCCCTTTCCACGCCCCACCACATCCTTAACATGCACGTGCTGGCGTGCGCTGCCTCGCCAGCCGGGCGTGGGCTTCCTTGTAGCGACTTGGGTACATGGCAGACGGATCCAAGGAAGAAGCCGAGGTCCCCAATTTGTCTGCCATTCTGTCTGCAACCAAGCTGAAGAGACCGCCTGCTGCTTCCAAAGCTGCCAACAAGAGCAGGATCCAGCAAGATCCAGCAGGAGATCCCAGGAAGACGAGCTAGAGGAAGACATTCACACAGAAGTCCTAGTTCGGGTTCTGCTTCTTCCCAATGCGTGATGGCCATGGAAGCGAACGGTGCAGCCGCGCAATGGCCTGTCGATCCAGACGTGAACATGAGCCTAGTTCATATAATATATTAATGTGCTGCAGTTACTAATGTTGCTATGTCTGATTTCACATCAGATCTTTCGATGCTGCATCGGTTCCTTGGCGCGTGGTGCGTGGTACTCCTTTTTGCCTTTACCTGAAAGACCCCAATCAAGTTTGTGAAGCATGCGGTGCTGTCAGGTGGGCTACATTGAAGGCCAGGATCTCGCTCTCTCCGCTTAACCCCGAGCTCTTTGCTTCATGCAGGCTCCTGGCGAGCCGATGGGCGTTGCGCTTCCACCACTGATGCGACTGGGACGCACCTTCGCACGGCTGTGAGAGTGCATCTGGATGACTTTGGTTTTTTTTGGTCCAGCTGCGCGAGATGTTTAGACGTTTCTGCAGGGGCACATCTCGAGCAGCTGAATGATGCTGAATGGCGAAAGTTCTCGCCAGGCTTTCAGCCTCTTTGCATCGTGCAACCCGGCGAGTAAGCCGCGGCCTGAGCCAGTGAGCGTGACCAGGCCCTGGCGCGGTTGAGTGAACAATTTTAAGCAGGGCGGGGGGGGCGGCGGGGGGGGGGCCAAGAGCAGTTTCCAAGACTAGTCATTATTGAATCACAGGAGACGATGTGGACTACGATTTTTGGATGAAAGCGTTTGGTGAAAACACTTTTTCGGACCCGCCCGTTTGGGGGCGGGGCGCAGACGGCTTGCGAACCCACGAATGCTCAAGTGCCAAGAGGAATGTCGGTCCCAACGCTTCCTAAGTTCCTAAGTGCATCTAAGCGCCATCTTCGGAGGGGAATCTCGTCTTGTGGGAGTCAAGTCTATATGTCTAGGCCGACCTTCCCCACTCGTCCAGCGTCGTAGGCCGGATGTCGCTCGCCTCCCCCGTTGCTTTTTGTTTTCCCCGCACGACCGAACTTCGCGCCTTTGAGAAAGGATTACACGTGAACCCAACACCAGAGTGGTTTTAGTGAGTTGTTGTGCTTTTTTGGGGGGGAGCGATGTTGGAGACCGATCTTCCCGAGAAGAGGCAACTCTTGGGCCTTAGAATAAGTTTGGAAACACAACGCTCAGCGAGGGTGGTGAGGCCGGTACATTGTGATACACCGTGGTACATTGTGATGTACCGTGGTTACACGGTGGTACACGGTGGTACACGGTGGTACACTGTGGTACACTGTGGTACACTGTGGTACACTGTGGTACACTGTGGTACACTGTGGTACACTGTGGTACACTGTGGTACACTGTGGTACACCATGGTGCACTGTGGTGCACCGTGGTACGCCGTGGTACACCCCCTAGCTCGCAGTTGGCATGTCCCTTTGCGATTGTCATGAGCTGCGCCCATGGGTGCTAGTGTTTACATAATGTAATACTCGAAAACAAAAAGGAGATAATAGCATAGCAAGATCTTTTTGCAGTATTTTATTTTTATAACAAAACAAGAAGAGGATAGTATTCTAATCCTAATACAGGATTACAAAAAGAATCATCATACTCATACAGCAACATTCCTATATAGAACAATATGCCAGCAAAGGACTCCCTGCTGCTCCCCTGTCGGCCGGTGTGAGGGCCAGCCATCGCACTGCGGATGCTCACGTTGCTTGGACACGAGGAAGGCCCACTGCGCGCAGCTCACGACAAACGATTCGCAATTCAATGCAAGCTCTGCGGCTCTTGACGCATGCTTCAGATGGTCCCGAGCTATGGGCACCTGCTTCCTGCTGAGTTGAAGCCCTTCGTCGCCCAGGACGACAACCGAATTCTTTTGGTTTCAGTGCGCGCAGAGGTAGTGAGATCAGAGCTTCCAGGCCTTGCTGGCAACACGTGTCCTCAAAGTCTTAGCGGCTTCCTCAATCTTGTCTACTTTGCCACTGGGCCGTAGGATTTTGCCGCCCTGGCCCCACCGCGGCGTGTGACTACCCGACTGGGCCAAGGCTGGGAGTGGTTGATTTTTGAGTTTTTTGTGCATTGAGAAACTAGTTTCTCTTTATGTTACTATATTATATTGTTTTTTGTTTTCTTGCTATGTTGCTATGTTGCTATGTTGTTATATTGTTATATTGCTATATTGTTATATTGTTATATTGTTATATTGTTATATTGCTATATTGCTATATTGCTATATTGTTATGTTGCTATTTTGCTATGTTGCTATATTGTTATATACTATTATGCATGATTACACTCTTAGCAAGTCTTAAAAAGCGTCTTGCCGCCACCGTCACCGGAGCTTCTCGCAGGTGGATGAGTCGTCTTCTCGCATCCTTGGCCCTGCGCCACTTTCATGGCGTGCGTGCTAACTTCTGAATGCGCTTGGCGGCCCTTCGTGGCGGACAAATGCCGGTGCCAGTGTCGGGTCTTCGCATTCCACCTGACTATGTGGTCTCAAAAGCAACCCACAACAAGATGCTGGGCTTTCGCTGCTGGACTTGGTGTTCGCCGAAGAAAGCAAGAGGGCAAGAAGGCGAGAAAGCAATATAGCAAGAGAGCCAGATGCTGAATCTTCTGGGCTCCTTTGTCTTGGCTGCCTTGGATGTTCGGTGCCCGGTGGCTCGACTGCTCCTGGCCTGGGTTGCTCGACTTTTCTTCTCCTCCGAGGTGATGCGAGGTGATGCAGCCGAACGAACAGGCGCGGGTGCGACCGCATCTGTCGGGTACTTCCCGAGCGCAAGCCGTGGACAAGCAGGTGGCTGGGATGTTTTCCGGAATACCGGAAAGGCCTATAGACAATGCCTCCTGCCTCGGATGGGGGCTGGCAGTAGCATCCAAGGTTTGATCAGTGTAGCGAGGGCAGTGCAGCAAAGGAATGCACTTGTCAGCAACTGCGCATGGTGGTTGTGCTCTGACTTTGAGAACTCGAGGACGCTTCAATGAACATGAAAGCCCGAAGATGCGGAATCCGTGTCTTTATCTGACGCCCGCACTGCCTTTTAGGGCTCAAGGGGTGCGTGAGCATGGGCCATCGTCTCGGCTCCATGCACCACCTTGCCCCTAGTCTTGCTCGGTGCCCCAGGGTCCTGTGGCTTCGCAAAAGCTTCCTGACCCTAGATTTGGTTTAGAGTTTAGGGTTTAGGGTCACCTGAACCTCAGTAGCGTTGAGACAATCCGGGCGTCCTGCGGGGTTTAAGGTGCTGCAATCAGGTAGATTACGGTGACATGCTTAGGTGTCTGCAGCTTGGCACGCACTCACATCCAACCCCTAGTGTGTTGTGGTTTTGAAGGCCTGGTCCCCATCGAGCGAATTTGGGGGGTTCAATAGTCGTGGGGGAAGGGATTATGCAGAATGGGCCTAAGTGGGGTTGCTTCTGCGGCATCTTTCTCAGAGCCTCCGCAAAATTCTGCACCTCCCCCAGGTCCTCCGGCCTGCCAGGACTCAGAGCAGTGCTCGGAGTTGCTTTGCTCAATTAGCTCCCTTTGCACGGTTTGCCATGTCGGATTGTGGGACTCTTGCGGCTGCGCAGGTCCTGTTCCATTTTGAGCATGCCGGAGCCCTCTGAGTTCGCGGCAGCCTCGGTGCTTTGCAAGCTGTTGCCGCTCAAACCGGTCTGGTGGGCAGAGTGCACATGTCTTTGCAGGCAAGATGTCGAATGTCCAGGCGCCAAACTCGTAGCTCGCATGCCTCCGCTCTGTCCTAGTTTTTCGGCCCTATGGCAGAAGCTCATAATTATGTCCATCAACGTCCAGCTCAGGGAGGCATCTTTCCTTCCATGAGTATTGGAGGCTGCTCTACATCTGCGTGGCCCATGCGATGGCCAAGACGGTTGACCTTCGTGTTGACGCAGCTGGACAAATCGGCCAGACACTGAGCTTGCCAAGCGACCAAGATTTAGATACCTGAATAAACCCTAATAAACCCTAAGCCCTAAACCCTAAACCCTAAACCCTAAACCCTGGGACAATGTTAGCACAGCCGGCTCCCTGTGCGGTGTCTGCTCTTTTCATCTCATCAGGCTTGTAGGACAGAGATTCAGGGCGAAGAAAGGCAAGAAGAAGAGAGGGGAAGCAGAAAGGAAGGAAGGGGAGGGAAGGAAGGGAAGGGAAGGAAGGGAAGGAAGGGAAGGAAGGGAAGGAAGGGAAGGAAGGGAAGGAAGGGAAGGAAGGGAAGGAAGGGAAGGGAAGGAAGGGAAGGAAGGGAAGGGAAGGGAAGGGAAGGGAAGGGAGGGAAGGGAAGGAGGGAGGGGAAGGAAATACATGAAGGGAGGCCTCAAACTGAGCTGAAGAGAGTATGGTTTGCGGTAGAAGTGTATGCTAGGGAGAAGACCTTTCGCGTGTCGAACTTTCGTTCCGAAAATGATTCTTGAAACGTGCTTTGCCCTTGCCGCATAGCACTCTGCCACCGCCCCGAGTTTGAGTCCAGTCCAGCATGCTAAGCAGGTTGTTGGGTCGGTATTGCTGACCTAGGTAACAGGTAAAAAAGGCGGGCATGACCAAAGGTTAAGACCGTTCATCTCAGGTTGCTTGCACACCATGTTGGCCGGCAAGGGGGTAGAAGGGAGTAAGGTTTAGGGTTTAAGGTTGAGGGGTTTAGGGGTTTAGGGGTTTAGGGGTTTAGGGGTTTAGGGGTTTAGGGGTTTAGAGGTTTAGGAGTTTAGGAGCTCTGAGCTGCCCAGCTCTCACAGGGCTCTCGCCAAGGCCTGGATGGGCTTGATGCCTGGAGACCGCGCAGACTTCAAGAGGCATCTACTGCTTGCTCACGTCCCATCAGGTGTGCGCCCAAAAATCCTGTGCTACACCAGGCCATTGAGACTCTGAACGGGTCGTGGCGGGAAGGTGTTCGCATGGATCTTCGTGAGCAAGGCCCAGATTCGGGGAAGTTCCAGACTACTTTTGGAGCAACGGTGGACGCTTTTTTGCAGGCTCGCTGGCGGATGCTTCGGAGCATGTGGTGCCGCACGCAGAAGAGCAGAAGAGGGCGGGTAGAAGAGGGCGGGTCGTTGCTATTTGAAGGGCGCGCATAGAGGTAACAATTGTTTTGCGAACTTGTTTTTCCCCCACCCTCGGTGTGAGGTTGTTGTTATCTCAGCCGTCCTCGCCTGGGTCTTTTGTACTCTGGCCATCTCCTGTCCCTTGTTTTGTCGCCCTTTGGCTGCCGGTTCGTCGGCGACACTGTTTTTGTTTCCGTTTCTTTGGGTGGTGGAGCTGGCCGGCTTTCTCTTGGCCTTCTACACTTCTACTGCGTTGAGCCGTTGGTGGCGCTTTCGTTCTGAGCAGACGCCCTCGGCAAGGTTAACCCTGTCTGCTTGACGAAGCGTCCTCACCTCGCTCTCCAGGAGAATACCTCGCTCCGCCAACTCATCTAGCTTCTCCATGAAGTCGGAGGGATACCGCCGCCTCAAGAAGTGGATCGTGAACGAGATGCTTGCGCACCTGCGGATGGCCACCAGCAGCTCGTGATCCCCCCGGTAGGGGTTCCGAGTAGAATCATGAGCTGATTGCTTGCGCCGACGATGGAGCTCACACCTGGACTTGGGTGGCGCAGATTGTTGTGACACTGGCCAGGGCCCATTCCCTTCGCAAGATGTGCACTTAATGGGCCTTCTTGTGAAGGCCCACAACGTCATCCTGGCCCTTGCCTGTGGCTTCCGACTGGAAAGCATGAGCCACAGTCCCATTCCTCTACAACGAGATCCTGCTGGGGTGGCGTGAATGCATTCTCCCTGGAGAAGCACGGGGCCATTGAGGACAATGGCCGGGCGTGTTCGAGCGAGCGTCCATGTTCCTGACTTCTTGCCGGAGTTGCCATAGTTTGCCCGGACGTGTCCGAACCGGTGGAGAAAGTTAACTCGGGTCGACTTGAGACAGCTATTGTCAGTTGTGAAGAGTTAGGGCAGTTAGGTGGTCTTTTCAAGGACTGAGCGGACAGTCTACCTCCGCCTCACCCAGAAGCCTGTTCCCGGTGACACGCTTCTTGCGCCTGTAATCCTCAGAAGTAGGAGTGGCCTTTGTGCATTCTGAGCTGCTGCACAGGCTGTGCTTGGATCTTTGTTGCCCTTGTGACTAGGGCGGCCTGCAACGGAATCATGGGGGCATGAGGTTCTAGCAGTGCCAAGCGGCGCTTCTGCTCAGGTGCTCGTCTCCAGCTGGTTGGTGATGACCCTCATGGGCAGCCATGGCGACGAGCCCTCAGCTGCTACCACTTCGCTCTCGGTGCATCGATTTAGCTTGATGCTGGCTTGATGCTATGTTCTCAGGACGCAGCCAGCAAGCCTCAGTTGCAGCCCCAGGAGGAGCCTGGCAGAATGCAATCCCCACTACCGGTCGGAGCGGAATCGTGAACGCCAGAGATACCACGAAGAAAGTCGAATGCTCCACGCCAGCGGAATGCAATTTTTCGATGTCACTAGCACCTGTCTTTGCTCCTGCAAGAGGCTGCGCCAGCTCACGAACTGCGTGAGAACAGCCCTGCCTTTGGTTTCGGAGCAGAGTGGAATGCACATGAGCGCACGGCTGAGCCCGCAGCAACGTGTTGCTGCAGGCCTTGTCGGAGGCGCTTCAGGCTGCAAGCTGAGTCTGGCTCGAAAGTATGAAGAGCTTAATTATGAAGCAACAGTAACAGCAGGGGTTCCAGCAGCCCCTCGCCATATGAGCACAGCTCGAACGTGGCAGAAGCTAGCAAGGATTGCAGATGCGATGCTGGTCTGCTAGGTCTGCAGAGCGTCTGTTCATGTCACCGCCCGCCCTGCCCTGTTTCACAGAATGCTGTGCGATTTCGATCAAACGGAGAACACCAGGCAGAGTTTGTACATTTTTGGCCCCTAAAGCCCGAAGTATCTCTGCATCTGGGAGCTGCAGCTTTCAACATCTGAAAGTTTTCGCTGCAGCGGAACTCAGCACGTAGTTCACCACAGAGTGGGCCAGGATATGTCTGTCAAGGGAGGTGACGACAGCCTGCTCGAGATACTGCAGGACTCACCTGGCGCAACAAGCCGGTCGTTTTTTCTCCGGGAGTTCATGACAGGATCGTTGGCGACCGAACTGGCATCGGCAACACCACTTCTTCACCGAGGAGGGAGGTGCGGGAGTCTGAGTGATCATCTTTGCTCGGTCGTACGACGACCTGCAAGGACAGCCCGGTTCTATAAACTAACTAGCCGCGATTCAGGAGCCAGGATTCAGGAAATCCGGTGATTCTGGAAACTGGGCGATGGGCGAATTTGTCCGATTCAGGAAAATGGCTTCACACGATTTAGGAAGCCACGATGGGAACTGTCCGGTGCAGGAAACTTATTTCACACACTTCGCGATTCAGAAAGAAACCACGTGAATCCGGAAGCAAAGCCATTGGAAACCAAGCGATTCAGATTCGCTGGGGGATGGCCCAGATCATCTGATACGGCCACCATCGGCCACCGAATTTCTCTTCCTTTCCTGCAAGACTTAGGGAAGTTGTTTGCGAGATTTGCGAGACCGAGGCTTTCGACCACTTTAGGCCTTACAGCTGTAGGGTCTTGGGCCTGAGACGTCACGGTCCCAGGGGGGCCTGGACAAGATCCAAACACTCGGAGTTCGACGTGTAACGCATGTGCAACTTCGTGGCATGCCACCGGTTCTGGGTTCGGCATGTCTGATCTCCTCTGTGCTTACGTGAAGCTCACATCTCCTCAACTTGTGCTCGCCAAGGGCTACAAGCTGGCGCAAATGATGCGCCGGGTCCTGGACTTACTGCACAAGCAGTAACAGTGAGAGCATCACGCCGGTGCTGTTGTTGTGCTTTCGTCTTGCTGTTCGTGTTTTTCGCAAGGAACTTTTTGCCCGAATGTCACAGTGCATGTCCTGAGGGTTTTGCAATGTTTTCCAACCCGCTGCAAAGGGCCATCTGGCTGATGCATTCAAGCACATGAACTTTACGCGAGTGAAGCTGAGCGCTTACCAGCTGTGATGGTTGCGGCATGCGGCTGCCCCCATCCGTAGCTTCTTGCAGATGCATTCTGCAGTGCTAAGGGCGTCTTACGAAGTGCGTGTTTTTCCTGAGATGCGTGCGCTGGGCTTACATCTGGTTGTATTAAAGGTGTGAGTGTCTAGAGCGAGAGAGGCAGGCCGGAACAGTCCGCAGCACCTGTTCAGTCATGCTTGGCCGGTGTTGCTGCCTGCAGGTAACTTCCAAAGACATTGTGCAGAGGATCGGTCCTCACTTCTCCACGTTCATGTGATGTTGCAAGATCTCTCGATCCTGTTCAATCGATCTGATGCGGTTCACAGGATCGATCGCCTGCAGATTTTTAGCCGGTACTCCGTGCCTGTCGATCTCTAAACTTGAGCATCTCTTGTAGACACAGACTTGCTCATGGCAGGTTTGCTGACTTAAACCACTTGCTGGTGCGGAGTCTTGTTCATAGCGCGGCGCTCGGGTTGCGGTGATTCGGCGTTCTTTGAGATTGGAGATGTGCGGAGATATGTAGAGTCGATGGAGTCCCAGGAACGACCCACGCAAAGCCAGCAGAAGGAGCCCATGCCTCGGGAGAGGTTCCTAAAGGAGTTGCTGTAGTTTGGCTCTCGGTGTGTTGGCAGCTTCTGTGCTGTGGAAGGTGATGTTGGATGACATCGGTGTTGGGCTCAGGAGCCTCAGTTACTAACGGCTCGTCACGGGAGCATGTCCTGCATGAACAGCTCCTGCGAATCTTGAGTGGCGCAAGTTGGCCGTGAATGGCTGCACGTCGAGCGCAAGTGCTGAGGATATGGGCTGCGAGAAGTGAAGCCGCGGATGGCTCTGCCAGCGGCCGAGGCGCTGACGACTGTGCGACATCGCCCCCCCCCCCGCCTTCCCCTCACCGTCCTGCACCCCACGACTTTTTGCTGCCATGCTGCTGACACTGCTTGCTCTACAATCGCCTGCCAGTTGGTGGACTGCATGGAAGAGGGCCTCCTGCAAGATGCACGAGAGGCACCTTCTGTCGTTGGATGGGTTCCATCATATCGTGAAGACTCCGGACTCCAACTCCCCGCAGGTTCATCAGTACGTCATTGGCCTCTGCTGTGTGCTGGCCCATCCCGCTGAAGTTGTTGGGGGGTTGTGCGATGAGTGCATGTCAGTTCTGCTTTTTGTCCATGTGGGTGAGATGTGTCAGAGGTTCTTCTCATCACCTGTGCGGGTTCAGCCATTTTCTCCCTGAAGCAGCCGTCGCTGGCGCCGGCCTCAACTTTGACAAGTCGATACACACTGCGCTGCGTAAGACCTGCAGACTCGACACCTGGTGGTTCAGGAGCTTGTGTTTTTCTCCTTCTCGTCACTTCTAGTCTGTACGGTTTTGGGGCAGGTTAGGGCAGTTGCCTTATCATCTTCTCGCATTTCTAGCAAGCCTCCTCTGTTCTAAGCCCTGGGGGGCACTTCAGGGCCTCAGGGGGGCCATTCTCACCGTCTGGCGTTCAGAGGGCCTGCTTGGGGTGTAGATGAGGGCATCTTTTCTTCGTCTCCTGATGGGTGGTCTGGGGCCCCTTTGAGGTCTAGATTCGCAGGTCGCCCTGTCCTGGCTGTTTGTGTTTCTGTGCGGGGGTCCGGATGGAGAGAGTTAGGGGTTTCTCTGCCAGAATGTTCCTCCCGGCCCAAACATGTCTTTGACGGGCAGCAGTATCCAGTTCAGTCGGTGCTTCGGGGCCCCAGCCTAAGCATCCCAAGGACCACATTGGAGGAGTCGTGTTGCATGTTGTGGCACCTGCATTCCTTTCAAGCAACGGCCATTGAAGAAGCTTTTGCGATTCGATTCCTCCGAGTTCTGTTCGCGGACCTGTGCAGATCTGATTGCCTGCAGGTGCCGAGCCGCACGAACCCTCTCCTGGCTTTGCGATGACCGATGATGCCGGCTTCTGCGCAAAAGAAGATCACTGTCACGCCCTGCAGCTGGGAGAAGATACATGTGCGGAATGGGATGGCGCGAAGATGCACTCTGCGTGCATGCTGCATGAGGTTTTTTGGGCTGTGATCTGCCCGATCTTTGTGTCTCGTTTCTCTTGAGATCTCTCGAGACGTTTGGGCTTCGGATCGTGTAGGATCGATAGGACCGGGGGTTGCAGGCTTCGCCTTACATGCAAAAAGCGGAGATCTTTCTTAGGTGATCAGCCATGGGCAGCCATGGGCCTTGCTGCCCCAAGCTCCTTCACCCACCGCGAATGACAGAGACCTAGGCAAGGGCAAGGGGATTGAATGGTTGCCATGGCGGATCATGGTAGCAGAAACGTCGTTGCTGTGTGCTTCCGCCGTAGGTCCGGACTCTCCTGGCTCTTGCACTCGGTGGTCGCAGCTTTCAGAGAATTTGCAACGTCCGACGACCCAGTTTTTGCAGCAAACTACGAGGGAGCTTATTGCAATTTATTGTATGTTTGCTGTTCGCTCCTTGGGAGTTGAAGTACTTGGAGAGCTGCCTTGGTGATATGCATACTCGAGGGGCGAATTCATTTGCCTGCCCGGTAGTCTTCCATCGCTTTAGGCCCGTCCCAACTTTCATCTCACATGCCCCGAGTCTCTACGTTCGCATCTCGAGTTGGCCAATGCTGATAGGTATGCGTCATCTGAAACTCAATCCAGTCCGGCAAAAGCTCGTGCCCCTCACCGCCAAAGCATTGAATTTGTGTTCCCAAATCAAGACCTTTGAGCTTGTTTCCACAGTGCTGAGTATGTTCAGTATGTTCCAGAACGTCCCGGGTGCTGAGACATGCATATCATGCATCTCCGCAGCATTTTCGCGGCAAGTCATCTTGTGTCCGCCCCCCATCATTTAGGAAGCCTCCGGAATGCAGACGCAAGCAGCCGGCTCTCATTCAGACGCATCGGGCGGCAGCGCGCGCCAGCGACTCTATACTTCAGCTGGTGTCCAGAAGGTGTCCGGCAGGGCCTATGGGCACGTGGACTCTTACAACTCCACCCAGCTGGCCTCCAGTGCTTTGTTCTGCGTGATCAAAGGCACGGTGCTGACCAGCCGGGTTCCTCATGCCAATGGTAACTTTTCAGCTTTGTACTAGTAGACAGAAGTTCGGAGTTGCTTGTTTTTTTTGGGCTGGCTGAGGTTCTGTGGGTCGAGCAGTTTGTGGTGCTCCTCCTGTATATCATCGGCTGGCGCATTTCGGCGACCTTCATGCCAGAGGCCATTTCTCATGGAGACGACAGCCTAGAGATCCGCATCACGAGGCACTACACCGAGGTGACTCAGATGGAAAAGACACAGCCAACATCGTTCAGCCTTTGCAGATGGTTGTTCGTAGGGGCAACAGTAGATCCAATATAAAACCCTGCCAAGTGTTGCCTTCGGAAGAAGCAGGAGATGACTACTCCCAGGAAATGCCTTCCCCACCCACCTCTACCCCTGCGCGGTGAGGCAGTTCAATGCGTTCGCCCTTTCTGTAATGCCTTTCCCCCCCGTCCCAACCATCAGTTGGACAAATCCACATGATGGGGGTGATATACGATGATTCGTGAACATTCGCGGTGTTTTTCAGGGCCAAGGATTTTTTAGGAGCTCTCAGCAAGCCTTCGAACTCCGACGTTGGATTTTGGGCCACGGGTTTAGGTTTGGGATGGTTTAGGGATAAGAGTTTAAGGGTCGGCCCGCCATAAGCTGTGAATGTGTCTATGGCCAGACTCCGAGTCGCGGGCTAGGGAAATCGGCAGCGGAATGCACGAGAAATGCCTTCCGGGAGGGGGGGCGTTCAAGGCGCTGGCCGCAGTGATAGCAGGAGTTTTTTCATCACCTACTTTCTTTGTTTCGTGCTTGGAGTTGCCGTTCGGAGGGTTCAAGCGGAGTTTTGTATTTTGCCAGCCTGAAACGATTTTTGCCAAACGGCGCGACCAATTCGGTAGGTTTGGTTTTTGGGAAGACTCCGATTTTCTGTCTCCTTGGCCAGAGGAGATTTCCGAGCTGGCCGGGTTTCTCCTCGCCTTCTACACTTCCATTGCTTTGAGCCGTTGGTGGCGCCTTCGCACGGAGGGCGTGGGTCACATCGTGGGGGCTAGCAAACAGCTCATGATGCTCTTCGGAACACTCGCAGGCGATCACGAGCTGCTGACAGCCATCCGCAGGTACGCACGCGCCTCGTTGGCGATCCACTTCTTGAGGCGGCGGTATCCCTCCGACTTCATGGAGAAGCTAGATGAGTTGGTGGAGCGAGGTATTCTGCTGGAGAGCGAGGTGGGCAAGCTCCGTGAGGTTGGCGGCGTTAGCCTTGCTGAGAGCGTCTGGGCGTGGGTGGCGCAGATTGTTGTGACACTGGCCAGGGCCAAGCAGATGTCGGAGTACATGCTCGTGCATCTGCTGGAAGTGGTAGAGAAAGGACGCTCTGGGGCAGGTTGTATCCAAGCGCAAATGGGAACACCCATCCCGCTGCAATATGTGCACTTAATGGGCCTCCTTGTGAAGGCCCACAACATCATCCTCGCCCTTGCCTGCGGCTTCCAGCTGGCAAGCATGAGCCACAAATATGCTGTTGGCATCTCACTGAGACTCTTCCTTGTCCCATTCCTCTACAACGCGATCCTGCTGATCAATGCGGAGTTGGCAGACCCTTTCGGGGGTGGCGTGAACGCATTCTCCCTGGAGAAGCTCGAGCAGGTCATTGAGAACTCTGGTCGGGGCCATCTTCGAGCAAGCGTCCGTGTTCCCGACTGCTTGCCTCAGTTTCGCACCGGCATGGAGTTGCCATAGCCCGGACATGTCCGAGCCAAGATGACTAAGAGGCGGAGAAACGTCACTTGGCGTTCCGGTTTTGATTTCTGACATCTATGGTCACATCTGAAGAGTTAGGTGGTCTTTTCCCAGGAGGCTGAATGCACAGTCTACCGCTGCCTGCTCGCTCAGAGCCTGTAAAGATTTGCTCGATTTTCGTGTGATCCCAGTGCAATTCCACTTCTCGTGCCTGTTGCCCTCAGAAGAAGGACTGGCATGCGTGCAATCTGCACACAGGTGCAGTTGAATCCTTAGTGTACAGCTAGCTGTCTACGCGGGGTTGCAAACAAATCATGGCGAAGGCCTCCCTCCGTGCACTTGCTCTGCCATGGCTTGAGCTGTTGGGCAACTGAATTCCATGTAGAGAGGCGGGTTATCGAGAAAGCTTGTGCGTTGGCATTTTGGCTACCTGGCTTCTCGGCTTCTGGGCTTCCCGCCCTCCTGGCTTATTTGTTTCTTGGCTTCTTGGCTGCTCGGTTGTTGGCTTTGCCGTTCATTGGCTTCTCAGTTGCCTGAATGTTTGCTTGGCTTCGATGGCTCCCGGCTTTTTGCTTATTTTGCTTCTGCCCACTCGTCGGCCATTCTTTTTGAGGGGCGTGTTGGAACGGGGTGGTGATTCTGCAGCATTTTCGCGGCAAGTCACCTTAGATCCGCCCCCATTCGTCGTCGAGGACTCCGCACTTCCTGCACCTTGTAGTCCTCCTGAATCGGAGATGCAATCAGATCCCAACTGCGATGGAGTCGCATCCCGCGGCAGCTCGCGCCAGCGGCTCTACACTTTGGGTGGCGTGCAGACGCAGCACGGGGACTCCTACGACTCAACCCAGCTGGCCTCCAGTGCCTTGTGCTTCGTGGTCAAAGGCACGGTGCTGACCAGCCGGGTTCCTCGTTCCAGCGGCAACTCTTCAACCTTTTGGCCTAAGTTTGTAGGCGGATTTGCAACAACACAAGTTCTGAGCTTGAATAAGCTGGCGTTTTCTTGGGTTTTTTTGGCTGTCTGAGGTGCTGTGGGCCGAGCAGTTTGTGGTGCTCCTCCTGTATATCTTCAGCTGGCGCCTCTCGAAGGCTTTCATGTCAGAGGCGATTTCTCATGGAGACGACAGCCTGGAGATCCGCATCACGAGGCACTACACTGAGGTCGCTCAGAAGCTTGAGGTTTAGGGTAAGGGTTTAGGGATTCGACATCCTTCATCCTTTAAGGAGAGCCACTCTGAGGGGGAACAGGAGATCCAAAACCCTGCAAAACGATGCCTTGGGATGAAACGGGGTTCGTGCATCACCTACTTGTCAAGAGTTGTTTGCTGTGAAGTTAGCTTTAGCTTTAGTTTCTTTCCACGGCTTCCGCAGAAGTAGGACAGGTGGCTGGGTGCCATCCCTGCCCCAAGCTCTGGAGTTCTATTTGATTGAAATGGAGTTTCCATTGCTGTCTAAGCCTTGTTGAAAGGTCTCGGAGAACAAGCGGTGATTATTTTCTTGCCAGGCGGTTTTTGCCGCAAGACGGGACCAATTGGGTAGGTTTTTTGGCTTTGGGACAAAGTCCAAACTCCGAATTTCCTGGCTTGGAATGAGGTGATGACCCAGCTGGCTGGCTTTCTCCTGGCCTTCTACACTTCCACTGCGTTGAGCCGTTGGTGGCGCCTTCGCACTGAGGGTGTAGGTCGCATCTGGGGTGCCAGCAGTCAGCTCATGATGCTGCTTGGAACCCTTACGGGGGACAACGCGCTGCTGGCTGCCATCCGCCGGTACGCACGCGCCTCGTTGGCGATCCACTTCCTGAGGCGGCGGTACCCCTCCGACTACATGGAGAAGCTAGATGAGTTGGTGGAGCGAGGTATTCTCCTGGAGAGTGAGTTGGCGAAACTCCGTGAGGTAGGCGGCGTTACCCTTGCCGAGAGCGTCTGGACTTGGGTAGCGCGGATTGTTGTGACACTGGCCAAGACCAACCAGATGTCGGAGTATACATCGCATCTGCTACAAGTTGTGGAAGAAGGCCGCGCTGGGGCAGCTTGTATTCAAGCGCAAATGGGGACACCCATCCCGCTGCAATATGTGCACTTAATGGGTCTTCTTGTGAAGGCCCACAACGTCATCCTGGCCCTTGCCTGTGGCTTCCACCTGGCAAGCATGAGCCACCGATATGCCGTTGGCATCTCACTGAGAGTCTTCCTGGTCCCATTCCTCTACAACGCGATCCTGCTGATCAATGCGGAGTTGGCAGACCCTTTCGGGGGTGGCGTGAACGCATTCTCCCTGGACAAGTACGAGAAGGCCATGGAGAACAATGGCCGGGGCTATCTTCGAGCAAGTGTCCATGTTCCTGACTGCTTGCCGGAGTTGCCATAGCCCGGACGTGTCAGAGCCAAGACAACCAAAGAGAAAGAGGCGGAGAAAACTTTACTTGGGTTACGCTTCGTCGGTTGCGAAATCCCGGTAGCTTTCCAAATTTTTCCCGGCGGCTGAACACACAGCCGGCCGGTGCCATCCGGTGCCTACACACCGCCTGTACAGTTTTTTCTCGGTTTTGGGTGATCCCGGTGCATTTCCATCTTCCAATTCGCGTGCCTGTTGCCTTCAGAAGTAGGACAGGCATGTATGCATTGCACGCTGCGCACAGTGCGGTTTGATTCCTACAGCTGCAAACAAAGCCTGGCGCGCTTGAGGCTTCCAGCCCATATGCGGAGAGCAGGGGCATGATCAAGCGACACATGTTTCGAGGTGCTCGTGTCCAGCTGGTTGCTCCAGTTGCAGCCCCAGGGCGAGCCTGCACTCGGCAGAAGGCAATCCCACTCACTGTTCAGAGCGGATGACCGCCCGTGCACGAGTTTTCGAAGTCAATAGCATCTGCGTTTTCACTCCTTCACGAGGCTGCGCCGGCTCACGAACTGCCTGAGTCTGAGAACAGCCCTGCCTTCGGTTTCGGAGTGTCAGAAGACCGGGAGTGGAATGCACAGGAACGCACGGCTGAACCTGCAGTATGCCTCGCAGCATGTGTTGCCGTGGCAAGATGTTGCAAGCTTAGTCTATCCCGAAACCAGGAAGGGCGAAGCATGCAGCAACGAAGTGGTGCGAGCTCAACAGAGTTTACCGGGGCGTTAATTTGCTTCAGCAGCCCCTAGATATGAGCACAGCTTGTGGCGTGTTAGACCTGCAGCGAGGATTGCAGAAGTGACGGTGGCGCGCGGCGTCCGCAGAGCGTTCGTTCATGTCAGGTCGCTCTACAACATCCTGCCAAGTGGTGCACTGCATGGAAGAGGGCCTCCTGCGAGATGTGCGCGAGGCACCGCCGGCGGCGGCTTCTGTAGATTTCCCGGTTCGATTCCACGCATACTCAGGCATACTCACGCTCACCTAGCGGAGCAGGCTCCTCTCCAGCCCCATCTTCAAAATGGTGTTGAAGACCCTGGATTCCCATCGGCAGACCCCCAGAAGATCCTGGAGAGTAAGTTGTGGAGTCCCCACCCCGAATCAAGGTCAAGAGCGCCCGCCCTGCGATTCCCCAGATACCCCCTAAAAACCCTCTCCCGCAGGGTATCCAGCCCCAATTAGCTTGAGGGTGGGGATTGTCGAGAAAAATCCTTCGTACTTGTTGTTTGTGTTGCCATGCTGGGCTTCTTGGCTTCTCGGCTTACGGGCATCTGGTCCCTCCCAGCTTGTTGTTTTCTTGGCTCGGCTTCTTGTTTGTTTTTTTGTTTTTTCGTTTCTTTGCTTCTTGGTTTGCTGAGCTGCTTGAGTGGCTCCAGCGGCTTCTGGCCTCTTTCTTCTGGCCCTCCCGTCGGCATTCTTTGTTTGAAGGAAGGGGAGGGGAGTTGGAACGGCGTGGTGAGGCATACATCTCTGCAGCATTTTCGCGGCAAGTCATCTTCGGATCCGCCCCATCCATCGATCGCCGAGGACTCCGACTTCAGAGTACTTTCTGCACATTGCAGTCCTCCTCAATCGGAGATGCAATCGGATGCTAATGGTAATGGAGACGGCAGTTCCCGCAAGCGGCTCTATACTTTGGGTGGTGTCCAGACGGTGCCCGGCAGGGCATATCGGCACATTGACTCTTACAACTCCACACAGCTGGCCTCCAGTGCTCTGTGCTGCGTGGTCAAAGGCACGGTGCTGACCAGCCGGGTTCCTCGCGCCAGTGGCAAGTTTTCGACTTTGTAGTAACACAGAACATAAAGAGAATTTGATTAAGCTGGTGTTTCTTGGAGTTTTTGGCTAGCTGAGGTTCTGTGGGCCGAGCAGTTTCTGGTGCTCCTCCTGTATATCTTCAGCTGGCGCCTCTCGAAGGCTTTCATGCCAGAAGCCACTTCTCAGGGAGACGACAGCCTGGAGATCCGCATCACGCGGCACTACGTCGAGGTCACTCAGTTGACTAAGCCACATTGGGCCACAACCTTTTAACATCCTTCAGTTTTTGAGGATAGCCGCATTGCCCCTTACAGGGGCAACAGGAGATCTAAGACCCTGCGAAACGATGCCTTCGGATGAAGCAGGAGACTGCAGGAGTTTGTTCATCACCTACTTGTCATTTTCTTTGTTTCGAGAATGGAGTTGCTGTTCGGAGGGTTCAAGCGGAGTTTTGTATATTGCCAGCCTGAAAAGATGGTTGCGACAAGGCGTGATCAATTCGGTAGGTTTGGGTTCTTGGAAACGAGCCCATCCGAACTCCGAATTTTCCCGGATCCTTGGCCAGAGGTGATTTCCGAGCTGGCCGGGTTTCTCCTCGCCTTCTACACTTCCATTGCTTTGAGCCGTTGGTGGCGACTTCGCACTGTCGGCGTGAGTTCCATCTTGGGCGCTAGCAAACAGCTCATGATGCTCTTCGGAACACTCGCAGGGGATCACGAGCTGCTGGCAGCCATCCGCAGGTACGCACGCGCCTCGTTGGCGATCCACTTCTTGAGGCGGCGGTATCCCTCCGACTTCATGGAGAAGCTAGATGAGCTGTCGGAGCGAGGTATTCTGCTGGAGAGCGAGGTGGGCAAGCTCCGTGAGGTCGGCGGCGTTAGCCTTGCTGAGAGCGTCTGGACGTGGGTGGCGCAGATTGTTGTGACACTGGCCAGGGCCAAGCAGATGTCGGAGTACATGCTCGTGCATCTGCTGGAAGTGGTCGAAAAGGGACGCTCTGGGGCAGGTTGTATCCAAGCGCAAATGGGAACACCCATCCCGCTGCAATATGTGCACTTGATGGGCCTCCTTGTGAAGGCTCACAACATCATCCTGGCTCTTGCCTGTGGCTTCCAGCTGGCAAGCATGAGCCACAGATATGCCGTTGGCATCTCACTGAGAGTCTTCCTTGTCCCATTCCTCTACAACGCGATCCTGCTGATCAATGCAGAGTTGGCAGACCCTTTCGGGGGTGGCGTGAACGCATTCTCCCTGGAGAAGCTCGAGCAGGTCGTTGAGAATTCCGGTCGGGGCTATCTTCGAGCAAGCGTCCATGTTCCCGACTGCTTGCCGGAGTTGCGGTCCAAAATGGATGGCATGGAGTTGCCATAGCCCTGACGTGTCCGAGCCAAGATGACCAAGGAGGTGGACAGAAGGGCGCTTGGGTTCCAATTTTGACTGGTGACATGCATTCTCAGTTGTGAAGAGTTAGGCGGTCTTTTCCCAGGAGGCTGAACGCACAGCCTACCGCTGCCTTCCCACCGAGAGCCTGTAGAGATTTTCTCGATTTTCGTGTGATCCCGGTCCAATTCCACTAATTCCACTTCTCATGCCTGTTTCCCTCAGAAGTAGGACTGGCATGCGTGCAAGCCGCGCTGCACACAGGTGCAGTTGAATCCTTACAGCTGTCTACGAGGAGCTGCAATCAAATCATGGGCCTGAATGAGGTTCCAGCAAGCCCATGTGCAGAAAGCGGGGGCAAGATCCAGCGAAACTTCTGCCAGGTGCTCGTCTCCAGCTGGTTGGTGATGACCCTCATGGGCAGGCAGCCACGGCGAAGCGTTCTCAACTGCTACTCGTACCGCCACTTGGCACTTCCTCCCATGCACCATTTTGGTTGATGCCTGCAGAAATTTTTCTCAGGACGCAGCCAGTACCAGAGATGTGTACTCGGTCCGTATTTTCAGTCCATCTAGTCTCTTTGTGTCCAGAGCTCTCATCTTCAGGCATGTCTCCAGCAATGAAAGCTTTGGCGGCCAAGGTTGCTGTGGGGGCTAACGATGCTGGCGTGAGACATTCACTGCTGCTGCAGTTCAAAACAACGGCTTGCTGCCTACGATGCGAGACAGCTTTGATTCAACCGGAGTTTATGTGTCAACTTGTTGCTGTGCAGGACCCGGCTCAGACATGCAGCCTGAAACATGCAGGGCAAGGATAGCTAGTTACAGCTAGTTTCAATAGCATAGAAGAGCAGAGTTCTCTACTGCCTTTGCATGAGCTCTTTCTCCCACCCCACGCCCCAAAACTTTTGCAGATACACTTTCAGACTCAGATACACTTTCAGACTCGTAGCTGCTTAAACTCTTAGACTTGACACGGATCTCCTTAGCATCTCAAATCATCTTATCTTCGCCCTTGCCTCCCTGACCTGCGTGGACAGATGCAAGCACCTTTGCAGCAGCTTATGACGCTGCCAGAAGCCCCCCCAAGTCTCCCTTCGAGTTCTCTGCCCAGGCATGGAGGCTTCGGCGGCTTCGGCTCGGTTCCCCAGAACCGAAGTGCGAAAGCGTCCATTCGAACTCAGCAAGAAGTTTCCAAAACCCATTGCCAAGATGCTGTTCTGCCTGCCCCTCTCGCCACCCGACATCTCGCCACGCGCTGAGAGACCCGGGGCCCTCCAAGTCCTGTTAGAGCCAAGTTGTCGCTCCGCAGTTTCTCCACCGCAAATTCGATGTAACTCCGTTGTGCTGCTAGGCCATCCACACAGACCTCGCAGACTCTGAAGCACAGTTTGCGACAGCGGGCACCGAGTTTGTTTGATGAGTTTGTCGCGCCATATGATGCCCCGCACTCGGTTGAACAGCAGCGAGGTCAGCTTAAGCGCAACAGAGACCCATTCTGCGTTTCGTCTGTTCGCAACGGGCCAACCAAAGGAGTGTCAGCAGCGGATGTTAGCTCAAGCTTCGGGGCTTCGCGTCTAAGATGCTTTTTGTGGCACGTGTTGACTTCGTTGAGCCGTCGAGGTTCTCCCGGTGTCTTCATCTCTTCGACGTGTCGTCGGATGCCCTGCGAGTGGTGCATGTGCTTTTGGGATGTTCCCCCTGCTGCTAACCGTCCTTTTTTGGGATTTGGGATTATACTAGGGGGTACGATGATCCCTATTAAAGGCTATTCCAACACATGCTGTCGACAGGGACGCATTGTAGGGCAGCTCAGGTGGGAGCCGGGCATCCCCATCCGGAACTGAGGCCCCGAGCCTGGGGGTGCTACGACAATAAGGAATAAGGTAACCCCTAACATTCCCTCATAGTAAGGACCCTAAACCCTAAACCCTAAACCCTGCACCCTAAACCCTAAACCCTAACCCTAAACCCTAAACCCTTAAACCCTAAACCCTAACCTTAAACCCTAAACCCCAATAAGGTATCCGAAACTCCTTGAGTTGGCTGCAATGTTCCATGTGGCGAGACAGGCGCATGGCCTGGCTGATGTTCCTCTTTGTTCTGCTGGACACCTCCAAGGGCTTGCTGGTCTCCTGGCTCCTTGGCCCCGTGATGTACATATATACATATGTATAGAAGTATGTATAGAAGTATGTTTGCATACATACATATATATATATATATATATAGATATGAGCTTATAAGCTTAGCACAGTAGAATGTACATTAACATGCACTATATGAATACATATATAAATGAGCAAAGATATATATATATATATATACATGTATATACATATACATATATATATAGAAATATGCAGAACTATACCCTGTTAAATGCATGTCCACGCTGAGCACCACATGGAGGTCCGTGGCCCACAGCTGCCTGGCGCTAGTGCCCATCGCGCTCTGCGCCACTCGGCAGGAATGAAGCATGTGTCGGCATTCCTGAGGACCGACACAGCATACTTGGTTTTGCCGAGAAAGGCGAAGAACCTTCTGTCCATCACCTTCGGTCTGGGAATGGCAGCCTTGCTGGATGGCATGCCTGGGGTGAGGCCGCTACTGCAGAGCCTAGTGCAGCGAGCTCCGCCCGTGTTTTTCGTACTGCCCTCTCGCAGCCACTTGAGCGGTAGCATCGCGTAAGCAGCAAACGTCAATACCGTCGATAAGCGTGCTCGTCAGGCGCTGCCTGGACATCCGCCGCTCTTTGCGGGTCTTCCCGGCGTGCCTCCC